CGATTTTACTTATTTGTAAATTTACTAGTGGGACGGAGTTGCCAAGTTGACATACATGTGGAAATCTAACCTCAAAAAACATATGGCAGTAACTCCGACGATATTTAATTTTAAATTTGCCGCGCTTATTTGAATTATACGGCAACACTGCACTCACTTACATGGGTGAGGGATTCTCTTACCTGCGACCAACTGCGTTACAAAAAAGATGCGACTGACGAAGGGTTAAATAAACTCGTAGAAATGATAAATTAACATTTAGAGAGTTGATTTTTAAAAAAGTCAACAAACAGTGTAATAAGTTCGAGTAAACTACGAGTTACAACCCGCTGAACACTATTAATAAAGCAAAGTTTTCGAGAATGTGTGGTATAAAAAAAATTGATAAATCAGCTAAAATTATAAAAAAAAACATTTTGTAATTGAGAAATTGACTTCTTAAGAGTTCATTTCTGCAATTGTTGGACTAAATTAATTTATAAATTAATGAAAAAGTAATTTTTAATTTAATCATTGTTAGTCACGACCAAACTGTTAAGAAAACTCTAAACGCGTTTCTCTCAAAACTAAATTTGAAAAATCGGTGGGCACTCTAACTGCCACAAATTTCAATCGATCCTCTTAGTCTTTATATTTTGTTTCTGATATAATTATCTAGCAATATAGGTACTGATTTTTTGAAATATTAATATTTTAATTTTCTAAACAACTTTAAGTAAAGAAAATTTAGACAAAAAGAAGCACTTTTTCCTTCAAAGCGATGCCATTTTGCGAAAAATAGATTTTTTTAACGGATACGTATTTTGCTAGATTTTGAGCTGTAGAAACTAATGCTTTTTTGCTTCCTCGTGGAGGAAGATTTGTAGTCCTTTCGTTTATAAAACTTTTCAAAGTGTCGGAAACAAATTTTTTCTTTATAGAAACATGTTATATGAGATCCTGATCAATTGTCCGGATGTATGTGTGTGTGTATATATGTGTGTGTGTGTGTGTGGATCCCTTTTTTGTTTAGAAGATAATTTTAACAGGTTTTAATGGATTTAGATAAAATTTGGTAGGCTCATTTATCATATTAATATCTCAAATCTGACCAAAGGATTTTGAAAAATACTAAAAAAAAAATTTTATCGTCTTTTATCCAAAATTTTTTTTTTTAATCAAAAAAATTTTTAAATACAAAAATTAAAGGTTATATATAATAAAATCGTTTTCCATACGTCAAGACGAATCGATCGATATATATAAAGTATACATTTGAGGTAAATTTAAAGAATTAATGAAAGTTAAAAAATCAAAAATTCACATTTTGGCTAAAAAATTTTGTGATTTTTTAAATTGAAGTTTATATATGAAATAATTGTATTCCTTACGTCAAGACGAATCGATCGATATATATAAAGTATACATTTGAGGTAAATTTAAAGAATTAATGAAAGTTAAAAAATCAAAAATTCACATTTTGGCATTAAAATTTTGCTTTCTCCACGAGGAAGCAAATTTTTTTGTTGATCGTAAAGAGGAAGCAAAATGTTCATGTAATGAACATCTGAATTTACAACTTGTTTATTTTGATCTAGATCAAATCTGGACCGAGTTATAGTTCCTACCGCACGGTAATACATTTTTGTAGCACTCCGCCATATCATTTGTCAGACCGACATTTTTGAAAAAAAAAATAAATATTTTTGTGCCGTTCAAGAGTAGTATAATACCCTACTGTATTTTAATTTTCTTAAAAAGCTATCTATTCTTCAATTAAAATTCTTGAAAAAGCGTATTTTTTGTTTCGAGTCAAAGTGGTGTAACCTCTTTATACACATATAAGAGGCACAGGAATCATGAAACCATTTTTCACCATTAAATGACCTAGGCCTGCAGATTTAAAAAAATTTCTGTATGATAAATGCGGCTAAGTGTTTCTAAAGGAAATTTTTGCGCTTAACACGAATCCGGTGTTCAAAATTCTCTATCACGTCAGGTTTTTACGAAAACTGAGGTTCAAACACTTAAGGGGGAATGACACCTTTGAGGTCTCTTTTGAACCTGTTTTTCATGAATTTTTTTAAGTTACAAGAATAAAGTAAACAGAATTTGGTTTCGAGGACTTTATTTGTTAACTTTTTAAGTTTACGAAAATATATTTATACTTCAAAACCTTTCAATTTGTTGACTATAGAGGCCGCCCAAGTTGGTCTCGTGTGGGAAATTTGTATTTATTTTTTATTATATCAGAATGATCTCCCACAGCATTATTCAAATAAGAACAAACATAATAAACTTAATAATTTATTATAATTCAAATTAAGTTAAGTATTATACAGCTGAGTGGACATATAAAAAATGGCTTCTTGCCAAGACGACTACTGAGGTGATACTGCCCGATTACACATCTCACACACGAACATGCGCGCGACACACACACTCTCAACGCAGTAGAGTAGAGAGGCGATGGGGGAAATTCTGCAACGTATATTCCCCACACACAAATTCAAATTTTTTCTTAATTTGTAATACATTTAGCTTTAGAGTACGTAGGATATTTTAAAAATATTTATTTTTGTGGATTTGGCAGCTATTTGAAGGAAAAAGTCGATTTTTAGAGCGACATTTTTTCAAAAAAACTATTGCCCAAAAAAACAAACCAACCAATAAAAAATCCGCTACCTTAATACACCAATTGAAATCATTACATACATTATCCCTAACCTCCCAAAAGTTCCTTTTTTACCTCCTTCTGTAAAAATTATATGAGAAATTATTCCAAACCCAGGTAAAATTAATATATAAACTTTAGGGTGACCAACAAATCAAAATAAATGTTGATAAAAACTGGATCCACCCCTCCAATAGTATCATAAAAAGAAGTATTTAAATTTCGATCAAAAAGTAATATTGTTATACCCCCAGCTAACACGGGTAATGATAATAATAATAAAATTGTTGTAAGAAAAATTGATCAACAAAATAAATTAGTTTTATCTATTCTTATTAAATTGAAACGAATATTTAAAATTGTTGAAATAAAATTCATAGATACTAAAATTGATGACACCCTCCTAAAATGTAATGAAAAAATTACTAAATCTGTTGAAACCCCAGGGTGCCTCATTCTTAATGATAAAGGGGGGTAAACAGTTCACCCAGTTCCAGCCCCTTGATCGATAAATATTCTTATAATTATTAAAATTAAAGAAGGAAACAATAATTATAATCTTATATTATTAAGACGAGGAAAAGCTATGTCAGGCACCGTAATTATTAAAGGAATTAAATAATTTCCAAACCCTTCTACCATAATTGGTATAACCATAAAAAAATTATTACAAAAGCATGAGCAGTTACAATAGAGTTATAAATTTGATCATTATTAATTAATTGTCTAGGAGTCGCCAATTCTATACGAATAATTAAACTTAGCCCTGCCCCAACTATTCCTGACCAAATATAAAATATATTACACCAATATCTTTATGATTTGCAGAAAATATTCATCTTATTATAAAATTATAGAAATTTTAATTTCAAAAATTATTTTTTCAATGTAAAAGAAATATTTTAATTACACTACTTTCCGAAATTGTGCGAACTCTGCTTTTTCAACAACTATAAAACTGTTCAAATCTTCAAAAATATTAAAACTAAAATTTTTTCCTCTTTATTTTATTAAAGCTAATAAAATTCTGAAAGAAATGACACCTTGACAAAGAGAATATGTTAATTTTTCAATTAGATATCTATGAAAAACCCAATTTTCAAAGTTTTTACTATTTTTTTTATTTCTCTGGCAAAAATTAATATTTTTAAACGTTCTTAGGCTCATTGAAATCGTATTTTGTTATGCAATTCAAATTATATAAAACAATTCATGTACACATCAATAAAATATAATGTTTAAAAATCAAGTAAATATATCATTCTAAACTTCTCTGATTTATGTAAGTAAATTTAAGATTTATACATTTTACTGATCATTTTTTGTCATATAAATATTAATCACAATTTTTTGACATTTTATGAGCCACGGTTTGCATACGCTAGGGAAGAATGTGTACATGAATTGTTTTATATAATTTGAATTGCATAACAAAATACGATTTCAATGAGCCTAAGAACGTTTAAAAATATTAATTTTTGCCAGATAAATAAAAAAAATAGTAAAAACTTTGAAAATTGGGTTTTTCTTAGATATCTAATTGAAAAATTAACATATTCTCTTTGTCAAGGTGTCACTTCTTTCAGAATTTTATTAGCTTTAATAAAATAAAGAGGAAAAAATTTTAGTTTTAATATTTTTGAAGATTTGAACAGTTTTATAGTTGTTGAAAAAGCAGAGTTCGCACAATTTCGGACGGTAGTGTAAATTAAAAATTTGTAATATGTCTGATTTAAAAAATAAACTCTAAATTTATTTAAAAATATTATAACTATTTTGTTACTACAAATTTATTGTAATTAAATTTTACACTTAAATTTTTATTTTAAATAAAATTAATTTATATCCATTTTTATTAATAACAATTTTAAGAATTTTTATAGGAAACAATTCCAAAATAATATTTTTTATATGACTTTGATTGGTGGTTAATACAATATCTTTTATTCCAATTACAGTAGAGACTCCATTATCCGGACTAATGGATGCAGGCGCTTCTCCGGATAATCGAGTAAAGTACGAATTAAACAAATTTTTGATTCGTAATTTCATATATTTATTCGCATATGTATTAAAAAAAGACTGAAAACAACTTAAACTTTTAAAGTCAACATTAATAAATGTTTAGTTAGAAATATTTCAAAATATTTGAATAAACATTTTCTTAAAATAATTAAAACACTTTAAAACGCAACGTTTCGTGTAAAAATTCACGTTTTTGAATTGACTTATATGGTATTTAATTTTTATTAAAATATTTGGTAATTGTCGTTTGACGTAATCAATTTCTTCTCTTCATAGCAGCTATATCCCTGATTTGTTTTCGTCGCAGTAAGCTTACGGTATTTCACTCTTCTTGTTTTTCAAACCATTGTAAACCTGTTTCTAGAGCTTGAAATGCATCTGAATGAGATGGCTCTGCATCATTTTCTTCACTTTCATTTTTTTCTGTTTCGTCTTCACAAATTTCCTTTTGATTGTTCGCCTGCAATAACTTATTAACAATTTCATCATCTGACATGATTTGAAATCCTTGATCATTACTATCACAACTGAGCCATTCTTCCAAATCTTCAGAATCGCATTCCTGGCATATTTGTAAATTCTTTATGATCTCACTGATTTCCCCTGAATCAAAATTGTCTGTATCTTCTGCTGGATTTTCTTGATTCCGGTTGAGTATTTTATTCCAAGCTTTATTCAATGTTTTTCTTTGAACCAGATCCCATGCACTAACAAGCATATAACAACATTCCTTTAAATTCATCTGTTTGAAAAACGTCAAAACGACTTGTGCATCAGTGTCATCATCAGCAGATAATAACCTGCGTAAAAGTTCTTTCCTATAAAGTCTTTTTAATCTTTCAATGACGCTTTGATCCATGGTCTGCAATAGCGAAGTTACATTAGGAGGCAAAAATATCACTTTAAACATTCCATTTTCTCTCTCTCTAATGTTTTAACTGAAGGATGAGTTGGTGCATTATCCAGTAGAAGTAAGACCTTTCCTTGCTTGCCAATTTCGTTTTGGAATTTTTTTACTTCAGGGATAAAAGTGTTATCATACCAGTCATAAAATATCTTTGTGTCCATCCAAGCGCTCTTCTGATTTTTATAAATTAAAGGGATTTTTATGTTCTTGAAACATCTGGGCTTCTTAGACTTTCCAATAAGAAGCAAAGGCATTCTATGACTCCCAGAAGCGTTTGCGCAAACTAGAATTGTTACTCGTTCTATACTCGACTTACGTCCTGGAGCAGAATTCTCTTGACGAGAAGCTAATGACTTTGACGGTAACAATTTCCAATTTAAACCAGTTTCATCCGCGTTATAGACAAAGTCTAAATCATAGTCACCTTCATTTAACGTTTTTTTTAAAATCATCTTTAAAAGAATTTGCTGAATTCGTATCTGCCGACATTTTTTCACCTTGAATTTCTAATTCACGAATTCCATGACGATTTTTAAATTTTAATAACCATCCGTTACTTGCCAAGAATGATGCACTGCCACCTAATTTTTTATTTAAATCTAATGCCTTTTCACGGAGCAAAGGACCTGATATCGGTTGCCCCGTTGGTCGCTTTTGTAAAAACCAACTGTACACAGCATCTTCTAAAAGTTTATTTGGCGGGTCCTTCATAGGTTTCCGATTAATACTTCCATCTTGACTATCAATTTTGACCTTGTAATTTAAAATTGATTCAGCGTTTTTCTTAATATCTGATATTGTAGAAGTACCAACTCCATATTTATCGGCTAACAAACGACCACTTTCACCTTTTTTTAATGACTCGATGATTTTTATTTTATCAGTAATCGGTATCACTACTCTTTTGCGACTCGACATTTTTAAACTTCTTTCTATATTATTCGTGAGATCGACGTGGATAGAAAAAAACCGATTCTGAACCAAAACCCAAAACCTATGGAAAATATCTTAAAGTTAAAACCAACTCTAAAAATTACATGAAAACTTTTGAATTGAAAGTGAGGTTAGAGTGTATTATTTTGCTAATAAAGCAGAATGTGTTTTAACGGCAGAACATTGATATTCCAGAAAAAGGTTAGGAAAGAAATTTAATGATTAATACAACCCGTAATTCTCTAAACTCACTTTAAAGTCTGAAAACTTGACATACACTTTTTCCAATGAACATAAACCATTAATCGTACACTTTTCAATTATTTTTGTGGCAGTTCAAAAATTCTACATAAATAAACATACCTTTATTATAAATTATAATGATCTATGTAATATTAAACAAACAAGCTTTTATTGACAGCTTAACGATTCGAATTTAATCAAACTTTTCAATCTCAAACGATCATACGAACGCGGAAGCCATTTTACAATTTCGATATTCGATACAGCGATCATGTCGCATATGTAATCGATACTACTCTCTGGTAATCGATTTCAATTTAAAAGTTGGGCGGGGAGAAATTTAAAATAGAAGTTTACGGCTTGAAACTTTATAAACTTTATATTTAAAAAAAAAAAATTAATTTTAAATTTGTCCGGATAATCGAATATCCGGATAATGGAGTCTCTACTGTATAATATTTTTCAATAAATCATTTAATGACAATTTTATTAAATATTTTATTTTTTAATGTATTTCATCTTCCATAATATTTATTTCTTTTGCGTTTGAATATTTACTCTCATTAATATTGTACTTTATATTATCTTAATACAGTAGGACTCCGGTTATCCGAGCTAATGTGGACCGGACCTACCTCAGATAAGGCGAAAACTCGGATAATCCGAATTGTTATTACAATTTAACATTATTATTGTTTAAACAATTATTATTTATTACAAACGGGAAAATAATATTGTATAATATATCATAATAATTTAAACAATTTGAATTTATTAAAAATAAACTCATATTTATAAAAAAAGTAAATTAACTCGGATGACGCGGACTAAACTCACAGAATGCAGAATTTACTACTGGGACACCACCTCGGATAAAGCGAGCTCGGATAAACGGGGTTTTACTGTATTTGTAATTTTAATAAAAATGGGAATGTTTCGATTTTTATTTTGATACATTGATATTATCCCTTACTTATCTTACATTAATTGCCTTATTTTATTTACTGTTCAAAAAATTCTTATTTACTATATATTAAGAAAAATAATAATAACTTTTAACTTATGTTACGTCTCAAATAGAGAAATAACTAACGAAATAATATTTTATTTAATTTATGGCCGCTCGGTGATTCAGTGAATTCCTGTTTCATTTACAGAGCAGAAGGCTCTGAACTAAGGGTACAGGAAAGAAAGAGAATAGTAATTAATTTCATAATTATGTTACAATTTATTTAGACAAGTATTTTTAGTTACAACAATTCGTTCTTATGAGAGAGAGGGAATCTCGAACCAACCAATCCAGGAAATAGAGAGTTCAGCATTCAACTGAAATAAGGAATGCAAGGGTTACTTCAAATATACGACAAGTTTAGAAAAGTTAGGAGTGAGAATATAAAACACTTACCTTAAAATTCAGTAGTAGGTGTGTTGAAAGAAAAAGGACCACTGGTGTGTCCTTTGTTGGCACAGGAAAAGAGCTGGTACCAGCTTGAGTTTATGGCGTCAGGTAGGTTGACGGGCCCAGGTATAACCGCAGGTCCAGAGTTCTATTAGGCGTGATGAAACTCCCAATAATGAGTCTCTTCCAAAAAAAGAAAGAATGGATAATTGCCCAATATAATGAGATGTAAAGATCCTCGTTTAATGTAGAGGGTTTTGGCACTTGATTTTAACTTTCGTATAAGAAAATTATGCACTTGAACTAGAAGACGTCGACTGGTACGAAAAATGAGCTTGATGTTATACGTATGAAGAGGATTTCAGAACTGGTCTCTCCGTGAAAATGTAGTCCTTTTATACTGAATTTTCGTAAGAGAATAGATAAAATTTTATTGTCGTACTATATATTTTTTACCCTAACTTTGAAAGCCAAAGTTGAGTCCTTTTCTCTCAGTTGAACGTTAAAAGCAGGGGTGTGAACCATTCTAATACAGGATAGAAAGAGTACGACTACGGTTATTCGCAGCTGTAGAAGAGTGTTTGTGCTCTTCTAATTGGTGATACCACAGGTGTTCGTCACATAGGGAGCTTAGAAAGAGAGCATTTATTACATCGTCTAATTTTAGCACATAGGGAAAATTAGAAAGAGAGCATTTTGTTTCGTGGGGGTGTCAGCTCTTCTTGTGTCATAAAAGATTTCTCGCTTCTATTTGTATGTTTTAGAAATACAGTATATAGACGTAGAAGGATACAAAACGCAGGGGTCCTTTATATATAACAGAAAGATGTTTAGTTGCGCGACAAAAGGGCGGAAATTTAACATTTAAGAGAAAAGTATTTAGATGCGTAACAAAAACACGGGTGTTTGTCGCAAGAAAAACGCAACTCGGTTTAGATTTAAGAATTCTTATAATATGAATATTAAAGTTACGGTGACCTGACACCTCCCCCCTTTAAAATTCGAAAATTAGAAATGAAGTTGAATAATTTACGAATTGAGTTTTTGAGAAGAGTTAAGTTATTTGAGGGAAATGTCACTTACAATTTCGATTATATTATATATAGTTTTTAGCATATCCTATACTATCATTTTTGATTTAATAATCATACATGATTTACAAATGATTTAATCATAGAGATTGGAATCTTATATTTAGAAGCATATACAAATTTGAAATACTTTCGTAAAAGCTCACAGAATTAGTAGAAGTAGTATATAAAAATGAATTTTAATTATATTTATAAAGACACTCATACCATGTATTAATTTTAGAGAAGATTTTAAGAATGCATTAATATTATTTGCTCTTTACACATTGGTTAATTTAGAATAAGATATAAGTTTTCAATACATAGTGCATACGGATAGATTACATTCTGATGATGACAGAGTTCAATTTTTGTTTTTCATACATAATTTATACTTTTGAAATATTATATAACTCTGTTAAAGATTTTCATCCACATATATTTACAAAAAGGAGGAAGGCAGAAAAAAAAATTTATAACTTTTTCCTTTCTGAACGTAGATATAATTTTTTAAACAGATTTATATAAGCTTATTCATCCCTCCCTCCTTTAAGAGAAAAACGAGAAGCATTTGAAGTTTTGACATGAATAGAATTTACAACATTGATTTAAAGAATTTTGGCTTTAATATTAATTAATTGGATAATTTTCGTTCTTTTTTTTTAAAGTGTAACAATTTCTTGCTATATGATATTTTTTGAAACATTGCTCACAAGATAAGCTGTATTTGCTTAATTAAAATTTTCTTTTTTACTCTAAGTGTCGATACATTATAATCATATTGTTTACACAATCATTGTGATATTAGTTGCAATCTTTCCTTTTATCTTAATCATTAGAATTTTTTCTCAATTTTTGATTTCAATATAAACATTTCCTGTTTTAAATGACATATTGCTATTTCTTAATTCCTCGACTCCGGTAATCAATATATTGGTTTAGAAAACTAAATTCGATTGATAAATTCTCCATAACACGAATTGAAAAATTTATTTATTTTTACCATACCCGTTCATATTACCTAAAGGAATATAAGATTCTATCAGGTAACGTTGTTCTCATTTTCAAGACTACATGTTTCCTTTCTTTATTTTACTTTCTTTTTTAAATTGAAAAATTTTTGAAATCAATGACATTTTTCAATTAGGCTTATAGTTTACGAGATATTTACGATTTTATCTGGTAGTACTTTTTTTATATAAATTTTCGAATATTTTGAATTTGAAAAAAAAAATTTCAATCTCGATTTACATGTTTTAGATCTCAAAATTTCGTGTCACATTGTGGTAATCTTTCGGTATTGATACTAACTACATGAAAATAAAGTTTAAGAATTTAAAAAATTATTATTTATTTATTTATTTTTTTTGAATATTTAAATATTTGAATTTAGGAAAAAATGTTAATATGAAACTTTCTTATAAGAAATATTTAGAAAAAAAGGAAATTTTATAATGGTAAAATATATCCTGGAAGAAAAATAGCAAATATTAATATAATGAATGTCTATAATATATTTTAATCACCTGAAACAGAAATATCTCTATATTATTATCAATTATTTAATATCTTTTTTTTATTATATCTAAAAATTAAAGAGTATGCTTAAGAAAATACTCCAGTTGTTCAATATAAAATTCGAGTCATCTTGATTTATTACAGATAATTATATATTTTTTATAATATTTATTTATTTTGTTACTGACAATGCCTTTTTTTATTCGTATTTTAATTCTTAAGAATTTGCAAAACTGGATTATTTACTTTAATAAAAAAGTTAATTGTATTAATGGAGAATTATAATTATAAGAGCAAACAATAATGTTGCAAAAGCAAATTGTTTTGTTTATGCATATTTAATGAATATATTGAAAGATGTGTATTAAGATTTGAATTTTTAATTCACTATTTTTGTTATTTTTTATAGAAATGTTTAAATTAATTTTGGTTAGCATGATGAATATGAGATAAGCGAAGTCTGTTAATGTTGTTGTTAGTTGTTGTATTTCAATATCTCTCTGTTCAATAAATCACAATAAATCGATATCTTGTCTCCACTTACTCGTTTACCCTAATCGGTTATGGGCCCAGTGGACGATATTGACAAAATATATCGACTTTGTAGATAAGTTTTCTGTAGCATGTAAATCGATATGGGCACGCGCCGTGATACGTCGAACATTCACGTGCTTGCAAAGAAATCTTTTTATATTCTTTTCGGTATCGCATTTTTACTATAAAAAGTGAACAGACCGTGTTCTATCGATTTTTCG